GAAACTTAATGGATTTAAAGTCCTCCCCTGCATTCATTGGAAGGGGGGAGCGATAGCCGATGATCTAACAATTGTGTGCGAAAACTCAGTTTTGGCCTTTACGGAGCTTAGGACTATTTTAGATGATTACTGCCAGTTGTCTGAAGCATCAATCAACTGGGATAAATCCACATACTTCCCCCCCCCCCCCCCCAATGAGATTTGTGTCCAGTGGGGCCTAAAACAGGTACCATCTGGATCAGCTGAACGGTTTTGGGAATACAAGTGTCGCTAACTGACTGTTCTGCAAGACAAGATCGGATACTCTAGGAGAAGGTATGTGCCAGAATCATGGGGTGGATCAGGCACCACAAACTCTCGTTATTTGGGAGAGCGCTGATACTATCTGCGACTGCATTCTCGCTGTTGTGGTTCCCACTAACCATTCATTGGGTAGGTGATGGGGCGTATACAACAATAAAAAAGGTGGCATCTATATATTCATGGAAACCAGCGGCTACGGAAGAGCAATGGTTTATTGCGACAGTGGCATGGGACACAATAACCTTCCCCAAAACAGAGGGAGGATTGAGAATTTTAAATCCAAGGGACCAAAATGCTGCACTACTCGGGAAATGGGTGATCAAGGCATTGTCAGAGAACAAAGAGCAGAAGATTTGGATAAAGATGGCGGAATACATTTTCAAAAGGGACTGAGATTTAACGGAGGCGGAGCAGGTTTGGACATGTCTAGTTCAAACGAATATGGGGAGGGGGAAAGTTAAATCTAGAGTATGGACTGGGATACTGAAGGCTTGGAATAGAATCAGACCCGTGCCTCTGAAGGAACTCACCTCAAAGTTGGAGATAGCTAACCAAGCGTTATTCGTTAATAATCTAATTAAGCCCGTGGCAGGCATCCTTTTCTACACAGTTGAGAAGGGAGGTAGCTTTGCCAAGTCATGGATAGAAAAGGAAGTTCTACAGATTAAACATCTTTGGGATGAGGAGAATCAAACGTGGATAACCTACGAAGACATCAGAAGAAGACTCCCTCGACTTCGGGCAATGCAAGAGAATCTGACCGCTATTTTGGAAGCAATTCCCCAGCAGTGGGAGGGCCTGTTAAAACAAGAATCGAAACACGGACAATGTACTTGGCTAGTTGACCCAGCAACAACAAGAGTGGAGGAGGTGTTGAGGGTGCTGGGTCCGGACCTCCAACAGGGAATGAAAGTTGAAAGTTGGGCGGTGGGTAGGGAAGGAAAGAATGAGAAGGAAGTATCTTTTGTGAAGGAGAGGACCATACAGACAACAAAGCAACAAACAGAAGTAAGAGTATGGGAAAATGACGGCAAGGGCTCCCGACGAGGAACGCTGTTAAGGGGGGAGGCCGAGTCTTTCAGGGTAGATCCGACCCTCCATGGATGGAAATTGAGCGGTAGGAAGGAAACTCCTTTATACGCCTATGAGACCAGAATGGGAGTAGCAGTATGCCGCCTGAAAAAAACAAGCCCGGAGGACGTGGCGGTACGAAGATTCTGGAAGGATCGAGGTGAAATGAAGAAAGCTCCAGATTTCCCACTCGTTTGGAAAATGCTTAGGAAGATTCCATCTAAAAAACAGGCCAGCCTCATGTGGTCACAATCTATGTAAGTAATACCCTCGGCAATGTGGTTGCACACCAGAGGCATGGAGTTGAGTACTACATGTAAACGATGCAACTGGGGATGGGAATCCACTGAGCATCTATGGCTWCTCTGTCCCCTAGCAGACGAGCTATGGATGTGGTGGAAATCATTTTGGGACTCTCGGATGGGACCCGGATGAGAATGGACTGATAACTGGATCTTATCTGGAATCCCACCTGAAAAGGCAAAGTTACAAGATGACTGGGGATATGCAGCCCTGACATGCCGAGGAATACTGATGGAAGTGTCGTGGAAGGCTCGAAACGCACACGTATTCAGAGAAGAAAGGGTTGACATCCATCAGCAGAAGGCAATAGCGAAGTCGTCTCGCAGATTGACTGTTTTAGCCGAGTGGAAGCAGGCTAGACAAAGGACAGGCCAAGGTAGGTACTGGTTTAGCAAGACATGGGCACTTGAAGGTGTCTTTTGCAAGATCCTGCCTGAAGGGAAGCTCTGGTTGGCTCCCTGGTTGAGAGATTAATGCTGACAGGCTAGAGATCGTGTTAGATCTCGAGTGATGATACCGCTTTAAGCGGAGAGAAGTCTTCACATTGGACAGCGACTCAATGTATCTTCGAGTTTCAATGATAGCAATATTGCAAAGGATAGTAGAGTGACTCAAGTAATGAGATAGGTGAAGAGGGCCCACAGCCCCCCCCTCCTTTTTTTTCAGTGCTTCAAGTGAGAGTTTTTTTGGAAAGTATTTTGGGTTCTGAATGGGACAATGGAGCCGGTTTCCAGGTAGCTTGGGACATATCCAGCGCAGCTGGACAGGAAACAGAGCTTGGCTCATAAGCTAAACTGACTGATGCTACCAGGATGACTCTGGGTCGAATTGTGAGGTCCCCGGCCTTGCCCCATTTTGATGCAATAAAGATTTACACTTTCCAAAAAAAAAAAGAAAAAAAAAAAAAGAAATGTACCCCACCCTCGGTAAGGTAGTTTTCTCAATGGAAAATGGTGTCCCACCCAAACCAAAAGGGCCAAAGCATACTACAAAACAGATTTCACGACAAAGAAAAATTCTACAAAATGACAAAATCTAATAGGTTATTCTCCTGTATTTCGGTACCATTAGATCGCAGAGCTCCGCCCCACCATGCCAGACGTGATAGAAAGCTCAGCGTTGAGAAAACTCAACGCTGTAGATGCGACCAGACCCCAGGATAACTCCGGGTTGTTTGTGAGGTCCCAGCCTATTTTTCTTTTTTTTTTCGGGCAGGTTCACCTACGGAAACCTTGTTACTACTCCTTCCTCTAAATGATAAGATTCAATGACCTTCTCACAGCAACCTTGTCACAGTCTCTTTTTTTTCATTTTCTGGTTGTAAAAAAGCTGCGTTCTCCTCATGGGGGACAGCCATATATGTATATTAAACTAAGCTATATTCTTCTCTCAATTTCACCTTTCACTATTTACCCAGCACTACTCCTAAGCCTATACAGGGGACCCCTGCAAGCATAGCTACCTCTCACATGTTGCCCCCTGCCCTAATAGGCGGTGGTCAGGGAGTAGGGTGGGGCCGCTGGTGGGGGGGGGCGGCTAACGCAAAGACCGTGCATTTTGTCAGTAGCTGTGCCTCCCATCTACTTCCCCCACCTCCGATTGAGTAGCAGCAGGGGCTATGGCCTCTCCCACACACCACACACCACACACAACCCACTCACACCTCACCTTTTTTTTTTTTTGCTGCCTTCTCCTCACAGATCTTTTAACTGGCGTTCTGCCATGTCATAGAAAACAGCCTAAAAAATAGGTGTAAGTGGGTATATAGGGCGTCGCGGTCGCTAACACGACACCGACCGGTCGTTCTGTGAGCCAACGTGGCGGCGGTCGCGGGGACGGCGGTGCGGTCTTTGGACGAATTGAGGGCGCAGCCCGGTTTCCAGTACAGGAAAGTTGGGAACGGGTGACCGTTCGTTAAATTGGGAGATCGACGGAGGAGAAAATTAAACGCGATTTTTTATCCTTGCCGTGCGTGTAGAACATGGAAAGATACATCGCCATTTTTTTTTTTTTTTTTTTTTTTTTTAATTTTTATTTTTTTACCTTGGAATTTCATTCTAAACGGCCCAGATTGAGACTGAATCCTTCGTTAGAACATGGAAAGATACATCGCCATCTTCCTTTTTTCTTTTTTTTTTTTTACCTTGGAATTGGGCTGGTTGTGGCCCTGGCTGGGCCCCCATGCCCTAGAACATCGAAAGATACATCGCCATCCTCCTTTTTTTTTTTTTTTTTTTTTACCTTTTTTTTACCTTGGAATTGGGCTGGCCGCCGGCCCACCGCAGTCCCCGCTGCGCCCCCACGCCCTAGCCTGGTATCAGTCATAGAAAACATCTTTTCTTTTCACGACCTTCCACTACTCCTAAGGCTATACAGGGGACCCCTGCAAGCATAAAAATTGAAGATCTGGGCCGTCGTTGGCCCTACCCGGCCCACGGCCCCGATCATCTGAAGTATGTAACAAATCTTTCATCTGGGCTGTCGGGCCGACGATCCAGGCCGTCCTCGGCCCTACCGGCCCACGGCCTAGATTGTCGGAAAGATCCCGCCCAAAGGCCGGCCCCACCGCCTTTGTCCGTTGCTGGAGGCCTTTCCTGAGCTTAGTTCTGAACCTGAATTGTGGGTTGGCCCCACCGCCTTTGTCTGTTGCTGGAGGCCTTCCCTGAGCTTAGTACTGAACGTGAATTGTCCAACGTGTTACGTGAACTTCGACGAGATTTATCGCAAAGTGGGCTTGAGGCAGAGCCTATTCTTGTGGAACTCGGACAGCTGGGCTAAATCACGGCTGAAGGCTTGCGCGCTGTTGGTTTATCGTTGTCGGCTGGAGGCTTCGAAGGCATGAAGTGAAGAGTCCATTTCTTTGACGTCCTTCCTCTATCTGACCTTTCCTCCTTCCCTCTGCCTGATTTCGGCTTGACCACCTCCGTCGCTCGGCACTCCGTCCGCCCTCTCTCCTCCTTCCCCCCTCCCCTTCCTTGCTCCCCTCGAGCTCCGCTTGACCTCCTCCCTCCCTCCTCCCTCCCTCCTCCCTCGGCCCTCAACCTTCTCTCCACTCTCCCTCCTTCCTCCCTTGATCCTTCCTCCTCGACTCTCCCTCCGCCCTCCCCTCTTCCTCCCATGGCCCTTCCTCCTCTCTGGGCCCTTCCCCCTCCCTCGGTGCTTTCTCCCTAAGTCCTCTGCCCTCCCTTCTGCCCTCCCTTCTCCCTTCTTCGCGCCCGACCCAACCGATGTTTGAATCCGCGCGCGCGCGCGAGAGAGAGAGAGAGAGAGAGAGATGACTCATGTGCCCGGTGTAGGGGATGGGGGAGGAAGAGCGTGAACTGTGGAAACAAATATAAATCGCTTGAGAAACTATCACGTGAGGTTCGGAAGGCGGAAAAATATACCTGGCGCCAGTCAGTTCGATGATTAATCTTAAAGCCTCCCCAAAAGAGCGAGGGGAGAATGTTGAGGAGGAAGAGCTTGAGGCGGCGGAAGACGTACCTTGCGTGGTGGAGGATACGGACGAAGGAGAAGGTGCAGGGAAGGAAGAGCTTGAGGAGGATGCGGTGGAGGAAGAGCTTGAGGBGGCGGAAGACGTACCTTCCGTGGTGGGGGATACGGACGAAGGAGAAGGTGCAGGGAAGGAAGAGCTTGAGGAGGATGCGGTGGAGGAAGAGCTTGAGGCGGCGGAAGACGTACCTTGTGTGGTGGGGGATACGGACGAAGGAGAAGGTGCAGGGAAGGAAGAGCTTGAGGAGGATGCGGTGGAGGAGCTTGTCGGTCTCCCTTTCCCTCGCTTTCTTGCGTGCGTGCACCCTTATTGAGATACGGAAAAAAACTTGCAGCGTGTGCGTCCACTGGAAAAACAAAAAAAACAACGAAATGCACTTCTTAGGTCGGGCGTTATGACAGAAGGGAGGCCGGTCAGAGGGAGGAAGGAGGTAGGCCGGAAGTCGGGTGGAGGGGGAATGGAGAGAGAAGGTCAGGTGGAGGTCGAGCGGAGGAAGGAAGGGAGGGAGGAGGTCAGGCGGAGGTGGAAATCGGAGGAGGAAGGAAGGGAAGGCAGGAGATCGGTGGAGGGAGGTCAGGCAGAGATACGGCGAAGGAAGGGAGGGAAGGGAGGTGGTCAAGAGGACGAAGGTTGAAGAGGAGGCATGGGACTGGCGGGAGGGAGAAGTCGGGCGGGGGTAGGGCAGAGGTA